AAAAAATAATTGTCGTATATGCCAAAAGTCAAGAGATCTGAACGCGGTTGGAGTAAAGTGAGTTTGGCCAATGAAATGTTGCTACTAAAAAAAAAAAAACAAGCAGAAGTAAATCAAACGTAGTGACAGAAAACGTAGTCCAATTGCATAACTCACCTATACTCCTGCACCTGCCATTCGAACTCGTCCACCGTCAACGGCATGAGCAACTGATTTACACTCGTCGGTGTCAACAAGCTCGTACTTCCGCGCGTAAAATTGCCGCGTATGCGAACCTCATCAAAGCTATACTGCGGCACCACTTCCACCGATTCGTAATAGATGCGTCCACAACTGTATATATGATCGCCAGTACAAGAAAGGATCGCACAAACCGCCACCGCATTGGGTTCAGTGTTGAGAAACGAACCGATGCCACGAAAAGCAGCCATTCGATAGTAGTAGCTGGTGGTGGAAGCATTCGCTAGCGGATTCACGCTTCGTTTAATATAAAAATCGCAACATAAATCATTGTGGCAAATTTGTTGTTGCAACGCCATATTGTTGGTCACCTCATTCGCTATCGGTACAGTCACATACAAGTCAATATCATTGCTACGCGCTAACACAACGCCGGTGAAGCGATCGAGCACGCCGCTGCTGCTGTCGCGCTGAGTTTGATTTTGCTGCTCTTTGAGGCTATTTTGGTTGATCCGTAGGCTTTGGATGATTGTGCTGTTAGCAACATTTTGCTTAGGCACTACACTTAGATGCAGTTTACTCTGATTTTCGTCACTGGTCATGGAGGCAGTTAGCGCGCCATATTTTCCTGCATAAATACCGCTGCCGCTGCGGCCATTACGTGGATCGTTGGTGCCTGCAACCAGCAGATTGACATTGTTGCTATATGCCCACGACTGATGCAGTTGAACGGCTGTTTGGGGGAGAGATTAATGGGGTTTTAGGTGGAGCAAAGACTTTTGCAAAAAAAAAAATTACGCGGAGGACGAAGGGACGAGCCGATACGCAACAAATATTCAAATGATACAATGTGCTATCTCTAAATAGCTAAGAGACCCCCACTGAAGATTGTCCACCACCGGCCTTTCCTGCCTATCTCTTTGAAGCTTGCGTTCGTTTGGTTGTTAGTTGGTTTCAAGTTACTTCCTGTGGTTGATTATATTGCTTCAGGCCCAAAGTGGAATCGTATGAACAAACTTAAAAAAAAACATATTCAATGTTGAAATTGATTCTGCAAAAAGTAAACGTCCTCATGATTCACAAAGAGGACGTGAATGCCTAGATGAAGCCTGACCTCCGTCGTCCAGGTGGTAAAGGCGGTTGGGGAGGTGGTTTGGCTCTTTTCAGTGAAGAAGCGAGCACATTCGGAGAGGTAGCCGTTTACTTTCAGGCAGAGGTCATCAATTCCGTTCTCAGACGCCAATATCGAACATTCGTCTGTGTATGAGATCAGGGAAATTCCCTGCTATGGTATATCAAGCTTCGAAATATAAAAGTTAAACAGTAGGGGAGCGCACTCGATGTTTAATTGTTATAGGCTATGATGTTTGTTCTCAAAAGGTTACTGACGACTGCCGACCACTCATATACTCCTCCGACCACCGTTTGAGTCCCCAGGAGAGAGAGGAAGCCTCAATGTTTTCCAGTGGCGTGGAGTGATAAAGGGTGTCAAACACCTCTGACAGGTCCAACGCTTCTGGAACTGGTCTCTCATATGGGCGGTTACAGCTAAGACCACGAGTCATTTCATGGTTTATGGCGGTAAGTGCTGTTATTGTGCTGTGCAGGGGTAGCAAGATATTTAGTGTGTTCGCGACCGGGGAAACGCGCATTTTTGGACGATAAGACCCTGCTTTGTTGGCTAGCTTCCCCGGTTTCAGCAGTAGGATTACTCTCCCCGATTTCCAAACATCATGAATAATGCGAGTGACCCTTGACAAGTTGAGAACCTTTGTGACCCAAATGCTTTAGCATCATCATGCAAATTCCTTTGGGTCCAAGGTCTTTGGATGGACTTCACCGCTGCTGAATGCAAGTGGTGCAGTTGGGCACTTATCACTCATTGCTTGGCCTTAAATACCGAAAGATACAATATGAACTGCCCGATAAAATAGCTCGCGCATTTCTTTGGCTACGATGAGATTTCCACTCTGTTTTCACGTTTCGTTGGATTAGGCAGGGATCCCACGGTTGACCAGAGCTTACTCACATTAGGGACGAAGTTGCAGGTCTTCAAATGATCCTCCCACTTTTTCCGCTTATGTTGGTTTACCAGTTTCCGAATCTCCAAATTTAGGTCCCTTAGACGTCGATCCCCAGGATCGAAATGGCGTAGGTAGTTATGCTAGCCTTACCAGGCTTGAGTGCCAATAATTGTGGTGCATTTTAAATACCATATCGTCACTAGACACAAATAAAGGCGCGAGCTCAAAAGTTGACCGCGAAAAAAGACGCATAACAAAAACTTCAGCGAAATTAGGGTGGTCCAAAAACACATGTAGAAAAAATAAAGTCGGAATTTTTATGCTCTCACCCCTTAGGATTTTTCTATACCGAAAAAATATACCCCTATTTTTTTTATTTTGAAATCAAAAAACATTTAGCGGTCGCTCAAAGCGACTCCCAGCAATAGTACCCAATTGCTTATTTAAGCATTTTTTCATCGCAACTATTATATTATAGGTCCGCCAGGACCACTAAAAAATCATAATATTAACAAATTGTTAAATAGACAATTAAGTATTCTTACTGAAAGTCTCCTGAAGAGAACCAGAGCTTTCCGATCGAAAATTATTGATGTTCCACAATTCTATGCCATTTCTACGAAAAGTTGTTTTTTTCCATATAAAAATACATAGAAAACTTTGATCGCTTTGAGCGACCTCTAAATATTTTTTTAATTTTAAAATAAAAAAAATAGGTATACCTTTTTTTACTATAGAACAATCCTAGGGTGTTCTGACACACGGAGCACCCAAACTCACCTGATATGAAAGGCAACTCCGACTGCCAATTACTGGGATGCAAAAAATCCATAATGCCCCGTTGCACAAGCGCCTGCGCCGGCCGCGCGTACAACAAATCCATGTCCGTAAAATGTCCGAATGTAACATTCATGTCGGTGTGGAATATGGCTTCCTCCTCTGGCTGCGACGTATAGTTGAAATACAGCCATTCACTGCCTATCAAATTGTATTTGCGATAACGTGAGATCACAGCACCGCCACGATCGAACACTACATTCGTATTGTAAATGGCGCAGCTGGCAATTAAATTTGCGATTTCATGTGATTGTGTGCAGTTCTGTACCTCCACCACATTGATTAGCAGATATAATTGCAAGGAGCGCGCATAGCAAGATACTTCGCTGATGATGTAATCGTAGAGAGCTGCATCAACGCCACAAGGTACCACAGTGTCGCTGGGCGTGGGGACGACTATCGGGGTTTCGCGATCGTTTAACACATTCTCCGGGAACACCACAATATCTGGACGTATGGCGGCATCCTCGAGCAGTCGTTCAAATTGACGTATGCGCGCTCGGGTGGATGCAGCTCCATTTACCGTACGCGCCGGAAATTCAACCACAGCGCCAATATAGTAGTCAGCAGTGGGAAGAGTTGGCTGTGTAAGATGTTTTTAGTTTTTGATTATAGTTGTTTAATTTCTGTGCTTGTTACCTCGCCGCTTATGGCCGCAATGCACAAACCGCAGTATATCCAATAATTCAGTAATTTCTGCAGCCACATTTTCACTGCTATGCGCTGTTCGTCTCGACTCTAAACTTAAGGCCAGTGGGTAAAATGAAAATTAATTTACTCCATCCTATGCTTTTAACCTTCAGCCGCACACCATTTGCTGCTCATAAATTCTTTCGTTTTGCATATTTTTGAATGTATCTAATCAGCCGTTCTTTCTAGATTTGTATATTGGGTTATCACGTTGATAATATCGGCATTTTTTATGATCGTTTGGCTTATCAGCTAGTTACCAAAAAAATCAGGAGAGCATTCAACTGTGATTTCTCCGTTTGTTGTTACAGCAGAGATCAGTTCAATGTATGGCTAAGAAAATTGAAGTCTGACTAAAGGCGCTACTTGCATATCATTGGCTTAGATTTCTTTTCCAATACCAGAAAGAAGCATAGTCACAGGCGATTACTAAAGTTTTCTATATCTGCATTTTTTTGATATGGAACACAAAATAAAAACTGATATAAATCTGGTACGTTAAGGTTGCCTATACCCGATTGTAGAGGGTGTGCAATGGGCTTTTAATCGGCGGTCCATATACAACAAATTTGCATTTCAAACAAGAATTTTTCTTTTAACTAATGCATACACAAATGAGTGTATCATTGTGTTATTTTACAAAAAAAAAAATCTATATCGTAACAAAAGGTTAACAATAATAATATTTAAATTGTACGCTAGCTAATTGAATTATTCAGCGACTGGCGCTACGTCCACATCATTGGTTGTCTCAGTTGAAGTCACAGCGATTTCCTCCTGCTCATCCAGAGCCATTTCCTTCTCGTCAGCAGGCACATCAGCCTTTGGCGCCTCAGCAGCCGTAATAGCCGCCGCCGCTGCGGCAGCCGCAGCCTCTTTAGCTTTTTCATATTTGTTGACTTCTGCGGAAAAGGAAAAAACAATTTGGATTCTCTACTCCTGTAGCTTAGCAAGATTGTAATAACTTACCAAACTTGCTTATATCGGCACCCAATAGACGCAATACATGCACTGTCTCATTGGTGTCCACATAGGCGCGCAAGCTAGAAGAACCGCGCCAACCCACAAGGAATAATGTGAAACGTGGATCCTCGTATTTCAATATACAGCTGCCAACACCTGTTAAAATTATTAATACTAGCTATCGCTAATTCATAATTTTTGTTCCCTACCCAATTCTTTGCAACGCTCTTGAGTTTCCGGTGCCAACTGCAGCGTTGAAGGTGGCTTAGTGGGATCCGTACAATTGAGCAGTAAAATCAAATCTTCCCTTGAGATTTCTATGCGGCGTATAGCGCCCATAAATGCGTTTGATGTCTGCAGACCTTCTTGAGCCAAGCGGAACGGATGCATCGTGTGACGATTCTCGCAGCGTACAAAAGTTTTCACGCCTGTGTTAATGATTTTTATGGTATCCTCATTTAACAAAACCATATCACGTATAGGCTCTGAGCAGTAGTAGATATTCTTTTTCTTATCGGTGACGCAGCGTGTGAGCAGGCAACGTTTATTTAGCGTATCATCGAGAGCAAAGAATGATTTGAGCTCATCCCAATCGGCGTCCTGCTCCTCGAAGAATATGTAAGGATCTTCTTTGTAGCCATGTAGACGACGGCGCTTTCGCTGTGGTCCCCATGGCACAGATTTTTCCTCGATAGGTTGACCATTTTCATCTAATTTCACCTCGGGTTTGGGCTTTTCGAGCAGCGACTGTAAATCGTTCTTCTCGAAAGGTAATTGACGACGTTTTTCAATGACAGCGACAAAGAAACCACCAGAGTCTTGAAGGTGGGGAAGCACGCGTATGCTGTAAGCATGTTTTATTTTGGAACTTAACTTATAAACGTTAATTTAACAGCTTTTACGTACCATTTTTCTAAACCGATTTTTTCCATCTGCTCCTGTGGCAGCGGAAACATATTAGGTCTAATGATAGTGTGATACTTTTCAGGCACCTCATCGAAACTTGTAAATATTTGGTCAACTTCCTTTGTTGCCAACTTCCAACTGGTCATACCAGGCTTATATTTTAATCCTGGCACTAAATGCGAAGCATCTACAATCTCTAAAGCGCCATCTGCATCAGCAATAATACGTTGCAACACAGCCTCATTTTCAATAGGATTTAAGGAGCAGGTCGAGTAGACTAAGCGGCCGCCAACGCTGAGCATTTCAGCGCCACGACGTGTAATACGATACTGAATACTGCAAGCAAAAACATTTGTATTAGTGTCACATAAAAATAGTTGATTATTTACCCATGCAAATTGTAGGCCTGTGCTAAATTCCATTTGGTCCAAATGTCAGGATTCTTGCGTAGCGTGCCATCACCAGAGCATGGAACATCGCATAAAATCTTATCGAATTTCAATATTGATTTACTACCATCTGCTTTACTTTCCTGAAACATTTGTTACCAATACTGTTAATGTACAATACTTAAAGCGGACTACCTACCAGTAAATTAGGAAAGAAACTGCTATCATGATTGGTCACCACGAAACAAGGTGAATTAAGCCTTTTCGCTTGGTGCACCAACATATAACAGCGATTATTATCTACATCATTGGCAACCACAAAGCCCGGTGGTATTTTATGCTTCTCCGGCGCACTATGCAGCGCCTCAATTAGTTGCGCTGTCTTTGAGCCAGGCGCGGCACACATATCCAGCACCTTGTCGGTAGGTTGTACATCCAATACTAGTGGTGGTATCATTGACACCGCTTCTTGGCGACTTATGCTACCAGCATTTGTTTCCGTTATTAAGAAATTGTGCAAACGGAATAGCGGTTCTGAGCGGCGTATATCTTTGCGTGTCAGCTGCAGCTGATAGGCGAACCCATCTGGATACCAAGGTAGTGGCAACGGACGTTTTACTTCCTCTTTAGGAACACCATGCAGTTCGGCGACGCTTTCCACATAGTCGGCAAACAACTCACTTTCGATAATGTTCAGCAAAGCCTTGGCTTCTCCACGAAAGCCGGTCACACGAAATGTAACTGGTAAGTTATCACGTATTTTGGCTAGGAATTGCTCCCAGTCAGCCTCATGGGCGCAGATATTTTGCAACTGATAGTACTTAATGAAGGCAGCATTATCACGTTTGATATCTTCGTACGGTTCCTGACGCACCGGGCGTGGATCCACTCCCTGCTGTTTGACGAGATGTGTATTGTTAAAACAAGTGGTGACTAAATCAACTCCCATTCACTTACGTTTTCACGCTTTTGGCGTTTCTTTGCGGCAAATGGATTTGATTTTCGGTTGCGCCCCATTTTTATCGAATAAAAATAATATTCACTGTGTAGAACGCTGAAGATTCAGTAAACCACTGCAATTGACACAAAATTAGCTCCTGCCCGGCTGATGACCGCAGAAACAAATGTAAACACGTGTTTAGGAGGTGCGAGCAACCCTGGCACATGTACGTCAGACAAGCAAAAGCCGGGGGGAATTAAGAAGAAGATGTTTTTAAATAAAATGTGAATTAATAAAACTTTTTAGTTTTGTAAAACAGAAACATATCTTATTTCATTAATTAAGGAACTATTTAAAACCATTTATTAAATCAAATATTTTTAATGAATCAAGCATGTTCGGCTCCCATCAAGCACGCCACAGCTGTTTCATTTGCCATTGTGACGTGTCATTTGGAAAATAAGAAGCATTCTGAAAAAGTCAAATAATTTGTAAACAGTTGGGCTGTGGAAGATTTTGCAGTATTTTACAGTTTAACGCAATAAATATGAAAATAACACAGAAAATCGAATTCGATGAGGATGTAGCATCGATTTGCGAGTCCACGGTAAGTTAGTGGAGTGGTAGAAATACAATTTTGGTTATGACTCCTCTGATGGCCCAGCGGCTGCATCACCTGCAAAATTGTTTGTAAACAATGATCTTTAGCCATAGATCGAACTCATTTTACGATTTTTAACCCTAGTCGCATGTACAGTAGTTATTTCTATTCTAATAATAACTGCTATTCATTTCATACCGACTTTTAGGGCGCACTTACCGAAGGCTGCCGACTACCTGTGCGTATGCACAAGACTGAAGATTGGCCCCTCGCAGAAGTAGTTAGCATTAAGGATCATGAGGGCAAACGACAGTTTTATGTGCACTATGTTGATTGTAATATTAAAGTCTAATATTTGTACTAAAATTACAGTTTACATCGAAAATATAAATTTTATTACAGTTAATAAGCGTCTTGATGAATGGGTTACCGAAGAGGATGTCGACACACGTAAGGTGCAGTTTCCGCGTCGCGATGGCACACAGACAGGCGCCAGCACAGGCGTAACAACACCGAAGAAACATCATTCATCCCTGCCTGGTAGCGTTTCAAGACCCACTTCACCACAACCTGCCGCCAGTAATGAAATGGTCAATGGAAATGCTGTTTTGGCAGCAGCACTACAAAAGAAGATAAACCGCAAGAGAAAAGTATACAATAAATAATTATTAACTACATTTAACTCACAGTTAAATTTATTAGCTCAATTCGGTACCTGTGCCACCTGTTGCTCTGGTCCCTGAAATACCCCCGTCTTTGATAGCATCAACGCTTGCGCCATCAGTTGCTGTCCTAACCACTACACCAGCGCCAGTGTCTGTAACTGAGGAGGCTTCACAAGATGGTAAAAACGCGACACCACGTCAATCAGGCAGTATGGTTATACATCAGGATGACGTGGTAACGCGCATGAAAAATGTTGAAATGATCGAGTTGGGTAAACACCGTATAAAACCCTGGTATTTTTCACCGTATCCCCAGGTAGCTGATTTGTGCAATTTTTTGTCTAATCTACTAAATAAAAATTTTCCATTAGGAGCTATGCCAAATGCCCTGCATCTACATTTGCGAATTTTGCTTAAAGTACCGCAAAAGTCGCAAATGTCTTGAGCGGCATTTAGCGAAGTGCAACCTACGCCATCCGCCTGGCAATGAGATCTATCGTAAACATACGATATCCTTTTTCGAAATAGACGGCCGTAAAAATAAGGTCTATGCGCAGAATTTATGCCTGTTGGCTAAGCTATTCTTGGACCATAAAACACTTTACTACGATACGGATCCTTTTCTATTCTATGTTATGACAGAATTCGATTCGCGCGGCTTCCACATCGTCGGCTATTTTTCGAAAGAGAAAGAGAGCACGGAAGATTACAATGTTGCTTGTATACTCACAATGCCTCCTTATCAGCGCAAAGGATATGGCAAGCTGTTGATTGAATTCAGCTATGAGCTATCAAAATTTGAAGGGAAAACGGGTTCGCCTGAAAAGCCTTTGTCAGATTTGGGCCTACTTTCGTACCGCTCCTATTGGGCTCAAACAATTCTGGAGATTTTCATAAGCCAAAAGCCAACCAGCGACGGCGAAAAGCCCACCATTACAATTAAGTATGGAACAAGCTTGGATTAATTTTTAATCTAAAATTCATTATTACATATTTATTATTTCTATTAGCGATATCTGTGAATGCACTTCCATCAAGAAAGAAGATGTTATATCAACTTTACAAAATCTGAATCTTATAAACTATTACAAAGGACAATATATAGTTTGCATCAGTCGCGATATTATCGATCAACACAAGAAGGCTATGGATAAACGCAAAATTCGCATAGATTCTAAATGCCTACATTGGACCCCCAAAGATTGGTCTAAGCGCTCTAAGTGGTAAATCTTAAGCACATGACATTTTAAGTTATAAATTGTTTTAAGTTCATTAGCAAGATTAAGAGACACACATTCATACATCATTAAACAAAAATACCCAACCTTATGCGCATTAGTTACCCTAGTACCAATTTCTATTGATGATTTTCCCCCGCCTTTATTTATTCTCTTTTCCGCTCCACTGGTAAAATTGCTAGAAATGATTGAAATGTGCTAGTTCAGTATGCCACCCTACTACCAATCTATAAATCATGCAATGCAAATCGGCGTGAAATTAAAAAATTGAAGCCAATAAATAACTAATTGGAACCCTCCTAAAAATCGAAGTGTTTTTATTTTATTCCCTATGTCCAACCTCATCCACCAAGTAGTCCAAACTTTGCAGCGTCGCAGTCTCAATAGTGGCCTCCACAGTTTCCGTAGCTGTTTGCACGGCGCGCACAGTAGCTTTACTCTCGGCTAATTCCTGACGCAATTGTTTTAGTTTCTCATGTGTTTTACAAGCCTCCAATTTGGCTCTGCATTCTGAAACGTCTGCCTCACTTATCGACTCTATAACATCGCCAGCAGCTAGTTTATGTGCAATAACGCTGACCTCCTTTTCGGCTGCTGTTATCTTGGCAATGGGCAAGCGAGTATCGCTTAGCAAAGCGCAACGCGTTGCCGCCAAAGTGGTCAGCTTCACGTACTTGGCATACGACTGTAAGTAATCTTCTTTGACTTCCAAATACTGCCGAGTCTTCTCATCCACTTGGCGCTTAATATTAGCTTCGTCATCCCGAAAGCGCCGCAAAGTTTCCAGATAAAGCAAATACTGTATGTCCTCCATACCGCTGGCGGTGGAGTTTAGTGAAATAGAAGCCGCGCTATTTGAAGAAGTTGGTGTGGTGCTGTTTGCTGACATTTTGCTGCTGAAATTAAAAATTTTTCCGCTAGCAAATACAAAGCGCGATAATTTAAAAAATAGAAAATTTTACACTCTGCTTCTTCTTCTAAAGTGGAGTTCACAATTAAACACTTTCGGGCATGAACGAAAGACACAAGATCACGCGGGACGGAAAGAACGAAAAAAGTTATTTTCTAGCTGCCGAAATCTCGAAGCCATCTTTGCTGTAAGAAGTAAACAACGAAGAGAACGGAGAAAACCGCGAAATTGTTGAACGCATGAAAAATCATTTTTATTATGCAAATTCTTCTAAAAATCATGCCGTTGTGTTAAATTATTCTTTATCTTATGTGTACACACGTTGTCACAAGCGAAAATGAAGAAAATTGCAGTAAAAAGCCACCACCAAATTGTAAACAACGAAGAAATGTAAATAAACGGCTAATGTCAAAATCGTTCAACTTTTTTCCTTAATGCGATTCTAAAGGCCGGTCCACATAGGACTTTCGCGTTGGCTTTGGCGTTGGCGTTGGTTTGACAGAACGCACGTTAAAAGAATGATTGCTACAATGAACGCTTGGCAGCGAATGCTTGGGTGACTAAATTAACATACTAACTTCAGATAAATTAATATTTAATATCAATAATTGCATTAAAAACGATATTTCTTGCCTGCACTTGATTAAAAAGGGAAAATATTTCACACAATTTTATTTATTTGCAACAGCTGACGAGCAACGCACGCGAAAAGATGAGAGTTGGCCATCTTTTTGCTTTGTGTTGGCGTGAGCGTTGCCGAATTTTGGCTATGTGGACGGCTGCACTTGAATTCATGTATTCATAGTCAGCTGTTGAAGCGACGCCAACGCCAACGCAACGCCAAAGTTTTATGTGGACGGGCCTTAACGGGCTAGTCTCCTGCCCGCGTGATCTTGTCTTTTTGGTTCATGACTTTCGGGTGGAATTTCTTGAACTATTGGTATCATGCTGTGATTATTTTAATTATAAAGGCCTGTATGCAGCTCTCAAGAAAAGCAAAAACTCTATATAAAATGACGTACAAGAAATGGCTAAGAAATTTTCTTAAGTCAAATTTCCTTCAGGCAGTAGGCAGTTCTTAAGAAATTTACTACGCTTTCTACTACGGTTGTCTAAAGTTTTTTGTGAAAAAAGAGCACAAGGCAACCCAGGTTTGCAACAGAAATATATGCCCGTTCCATTATTTCTTGAGGAAAGAGTGAGGCAACAGGCTGGAGGTATCAAAAATGTCAAAATTCCTTGGACACACACGCGAAATAATAACAATTTTTTCTTGACCGTTTTCTTGACAGCTGCATACAGGGCTTAAAAATGAAATATTAACCGTTAATCGAGCTTTGTATCAAAAATGATACATTTTGTTTTATATCTTATCATAACTTCTTTAAAAAAAAAATTGAGTGCTGCATTCTTCGCGACTATGTTTATTTTGTTATTGCTGTTATTTTTAAACATATTTTCAAAAAATTTTGCAAGTAGGCCATGAGAAATTCAAAAACTTCATAATTCGAGCTATGTATCATTTTTGATACATATGGCAATTCAAAGGTTTTTTTGCTGCGGTGCACGTCATTCGCTACGCGATTTTTGGTATTTGTGGTGTGTTTTTATTTCTTGGGGTGCTTTTTTGAAGATTCATTTATTTTGTCACATAATTGTGTGTATTCAAAACAATGTCGCGTCCACGGTTTTTGACCTTTGAGGAACTAGTGATGAAGTACTGGATGAGAGTGAAGAGGATGAAGATGTTT